AATCTTTCCCCAGCCTAGACTGGGTTTGTGATGTCATCCGACAGTGAGCTTTAGCCCTGCTGTCGGCGAAAAACGGGTCACCGGACTGCAGAATGAAATTGTACTTCTGTGATCTACAAGAAAAGTGCATCCAAACGAGCATTGGTTGTACTTCTCCTTTAATCTTTAGGGATCACCATTCAGGGCCAGTTCACAAAACAAAAATTCACTCTGGATGTATTACGGATACGTTTTTGCTTACAGTTCACACCACATGCAGTTCTGGTGCAGTTTTAATGCAGTTTGCTATGTTCTAGTATGGTTATGTGCAGAAAAAATGCAGCACGTTCTACTTTTTTTTCTGCACCGGAAACCGTCTGGAACTGACTGCACTGGTGTGAACTAGGGCCATTGGAATACAAGGAAAACACTGTGCATGCATTTTTGATGAAAAAAAAAAACGCACTGGACTGCATCTAGTTTGAACAAGCAATCAAGGTTGAATTTGCCCTTCCCTTCTACATCCCCTTCCCTCATACCCTGCAAGGGGCTAACAAAAGTGGCTGGGGGCTTGCTGCACCAGGCTTTCAGGCATTTCCACTGAGTAAGGCCTACTATTGTGACCAATATACCGTGTCATTCTTGCCGGATTTTAATTTGTGCAATTATGATTGGTTCCTGGGAATGGTTCATCCTCATTGTACTTGAACCCATGCCTCTTTAACTATGTTTTTTTTTTTAAATTGCAATTCCAAATCTAAGGCAACACAATTTTTTAAAATGGAATTGGAGTGCTCTTTTCTGTCACACGGAGGAAACACTGCTCACTGCAGAAAAGTTTGCTTGCCCGGGGATCCTGTTCACAGGTAATGGAAAGAGAAAGCACAAAAGGGTATGAATCATTGGTTGCATGCAGTTTTGTGAATGTTATACCACTACAAATATGGAACAGCATGACATATGGTTTTGGAGAAAGGGTTACCTATTAATCTAAATCTTTAAAAGGTACAAAGCTTTGACTATAGGCAGCTGAAGTTATTTATCTCTGCAGGAACACTGGACTTTACTCTTTATGACAGGCTGAAGAGCAATATGACAGTCCAAGAAATAAGACCATCCAAAATGAGAGCAGGCCCCCTATGAAGAACCAAGACATGTTATTGGAATTATACGCCCCAGCTTCCCCTGAATTTTCTTGGAATCTTGGAATCTGTGAAGACTGACAGAGAAGTTTGCATTGAACTCTACCCCCCACTGCCATTGCAGGATTGAAAAATCTGAACCTGGGCAGATAATACAGGCGTACCTCAGTTTACAAACGCCTCGGTTAATGTAATTTTCGGTTTACGAATGAAAATCCATTGAAAATAACGGCTCGGTTTATGAATTCTTTTCGCAATACGAACGGATTAATTGGTTTTCAATGCATTTAAAAAAATTTTTTTTAATCATGTCCCTGCACAGTACAATGCCTTTAAAGTGCACTTTATAAAGAGTTTTGAACAGATAAAACTTTTTTTTATACTTTTTTTTCTGACTTCTGGAACGGATTAATTGGTTTTCAGTGCATTTACTAAATTTTTTATAATCATCTCCCTTTAAGCCTTTAAAGTGCACTTTTTATGCGTTTTGCACAGATAAAGCTTTTTTTTTTAACTTTTTTCTGACCTCCAGAACGGATTAATTGGTTTTCAATGCATTTACGAATGAATTTTTAATCATGTCCCTGTACAGCATTTAATGCCTTTAAAGAGTTTTGAACAGATAAAAAACTTTTTTAAACTTTTTTCTGACCTCCGGAATGGATTAATTGGTTTTCAATGCATTCCTATGGGAAACCGTTCCAGTTTATGAATTTTTCGTAATACGAAAAGTCCCGCAGAACGCATTAAATTCGTAAACCAAGGTATGCATGTAATTTATTCTGTAAATCTCTGGACAAAATATAGATCTGATATCTACAGAAATCGGTAACAACCTATACAACTTCATGTTTCAGTTACTTGACAGTAGTGCTAGGATACCAACAGTGTGTGTGACAATAAGGCCCCTTTCTGTTGAAACTCTGGTGAGATCAGCGGGGATCTGTCTGTTAATCCCCAGCTAAGTAGAGCAGAGCTCAGCCCCCCGGGTAACGGTGCCCCCCGTGCGCGTGCTCCAGCCATGTATTGCGGGCTCCGCTTGCCCATCTGCGGGCTCGGGGCCAACATGGCGGGAGCTGGCAGGTGGAGGGGAGAGAGGTGTGTCCGCTCTCCTTCCCTTCTTACTGTGAACGGGATCAGGGTCTCCACTGTCACTGCGATCTGCATTGCAATACATCCAGTGGAGCCCAGAGGAGACTTATTAAAGAGAACCTGACACCAAAAAATCATCACAAACTGATAAGAGGCATGGAGGAGCTCAGCTATGAGGAAAGATTAGAGGAACTGAATATCTTGAGAAGAGGAAATTAAGGGGGGATTTGATCAACATGTATAAATACATCAGTGGTTCATATAGTGAACTGGTGTAGAGCTATTCACCCTGAGGTCATCACAGAGGACAAGGGGGCACTCTTTACGTCTGGAGGAAAAGAGATTTAATCTCCAAAAATGGAAAGGTTTCTTCACAGTGAGAGCTGTGAAAATGTGGGAATAGACTCCCTCAAGAGTTGGTTCTGGCCAGCTCAGTGGATTGCTTTAAAAAAGGCCTGGATTCTTTCTTAGATACTCTGAACATAACTGGATACTAACATTTATAGGTAAAGTTGATCCAGGGAATATCTGATTGCCTCTCGGGGGATCAGGAATTTTTTCCCCTGCAGGAGCAAATTGGATCATGCTTTGGTTTTTTTCAACTGTGGGTATAGGATTATAACTTTTTTTTTTTTTTTTTATGGTTGAACTGGATGGACTTTTGTCTTTTTTCAGCCAGACTAACTATGTAACTATGCTGCTGGCATATTGTTGTGCAGAGGAGTGACGGAATTCTAAAGATTATCTTCAACATGAATTCCACTCATCGTGTCCAGGACCGTACAATTAGCAACATAGGGGACTTTGTGTCCCATATGTGATGAAGAAAAAAAATGTTAAATAAAAAAAAATATATTTTTTTTTGCAAAAAAATAAAGTTACACCCAAGCACATAACATCCCCACCCCCACATATACACATATACAAATGTCAACGCACGCATCGGGGTTGCCTATGCGTGAAACCGTTGGTTGCAATACACATTATATATCGCCATTCATGCCAGAATGAGAGCAATAATTCTAGCACAAGACCTCTCCTCCGTAACACTAAATTGATGGCCTGTAGGGGCTATTGAAGTGTCACCTATAGAAAATATAGGGTACTGAAGTTTGTTACCATTTCACAGGCACACACAAATTTAAGGTTTGGCATGTTGGGTATCTATTTACTCCGCGAAACCTCGTCTTTTATATTTTACAAAAAATGTGGGTAATTTATTGCATTTGTATGCCCTAAAATTCAGTTTGGTGTATTCTTTACTTAAATTTTGCATTTCCTAGACCTTTGCGGTAATATTGTGTGACATAAAAAAATTGGAACTACCACTAGGGTGTCTGCTTTTAGAAAATATATAATGTTTGGCAGTTTTGTGTAATCTTTAGGCCTAAAATAATTTTCTAAACAGGTGTGCAAAAAAAAAATGCAAAAACAGCTCTGGCAGCGAAAGGGCTATGTTCTAATATTGTATTCTAATATTACAATCTCCTAGATTGTAAGCTTGAATGAGTAGGGCCCTCTTACCCCTCGTACGCTGTCTGTTTTTGTTGTACTGTGTCATGTATTGTCCCCCCTATTGTACAGCGCTGAGCAAACCCTTTGGCGCTATATAAACTCGATGTAATAATATAAGAAATACATACTTGGATTAAAAGGCGTTTTTTTATGTTTGTCTAGAGTGAGGCTTGCAAGCAAGCAACTCTAGTGGCATTATTTGAACAGGCTATGTTCGATAATACACATCACAAATAAAGGAAAGGAAAAATCATAATACCATGTCCGATGACGCAGTTGAGAGAAGTGAAGCTTTCATAAATAAACCAGGTATTCATTTAGCTAAATCAGAGCACGTACATTGTACTTAGATCATTTGGCTGGAGCATCTGTCCAGTAAAATAGCACACTAACAAGACACTTTCAATATGTAGAACAATTTGGGGCTGATTTACTAAAACTGGAGAGTGCAAAATTGGGGGCAGCTCTGCATGATAACCAATCAGCTTCTAACTTCAACTTGTTCAATTAACCTATGACAATGTATCCTGGAAGCTGACTGGTTTCTATGTAGAGCTGCACCAGACTTTGCATTCTACAGTTTTAGTAAATTAACCCCATTGTGCCACTCGAGGCATACCCGGACTGGTGGCCGCCCTCCGTTGCTTAGCAACAGCAATGCTGATACCCGATCAGGCACATCTGGCTAGTGTGCCCGGTCGACAACATATATCAGCGCCACAACTACTGTGCTTGGGTATAAGGTAATTTTTTGCACATGGAGGTTTATACACACAGCACTGAGACTCTTTATAACCATATTTTGTAGATTTTGGCGGGATTGAGACGTCATGTGATGTCTGATGATGGGGGTGGTGATATGTTCTTGATTTTGCTTGATGGTTTATGTATGTATAGTCACTGTTGCAACCCTTATCACATGCCTGACAAAGGGGGTCCTGCGTGGCTCCAAAATGTGCACTTCTTCTAGTGATGTGATCTTTTTGCAATAAAAGGTGCTCTTTTGCAAACTTCAAACGTCCTCAAACCTTTTTGGACTATAGATCCATGGTGTGCATGGTGAATATGCACATTTACTCCAGAGAACAGGTCTCCACTGTTCTAGAGTCCAGTGGCGGCATGCTTTACGCCACTGCATCCGACGCTTTGCATTGCACATGGTGATGTAAGGCTTGGATGCAGCTGTTCAGCCATGGAAATCCATTCCATGAAGCTCTCTATGCACTGTTGTTGTCCTAATCTGAAGGCCACATGAAGTTTGGAGGTCTTTAGCTATTGACTCTGCAGACAGTTGGTGACTTCTGTGCACTGTGTGTTTCAGCATGTGCTGACCCTGCTCTGTCATTATACGTGTGGCCTACCACTTCGTGGCTGAGTTTCTGTTGTTCCCAATTGCTTCCACTTTGTTATAATACCACTAACAGTTGACCGTGGAATATTTAGTAGCAAGGAAATTTCACGGATGGACTTATTGCACAAGTGACAACCTATCACGGTACCACGCTTGAATTCACTGAGCTCCTGAGAGCGACCCATTCTTTCACAAATGTTTGTAGAAGCAGTCTGCATGCCTAGGTGCTTGATTTTATACATCTGTGGCCATGGAGGTGATTGGAACACCTGAATTCCACTTTGTTAAATAACCACTAACAGTTGACTGTAGAATATTTAGTAGCAAGGACATTTCACGGATGGACTTATTGCACAGGTGGCAACTTATCACGGTACCACGCTTGAATTCACTGAGCTCCTGAGAGCGACCCATTCTTTCACAAATGTGTGTAGAAGCAGTCTAGGTGCTTGATTTTACACACCTGTGGCCATGGAGGTGATCGGAACACCTTAATCCAATGATTTGGAGGGGTGTCCCAATACTTTTGGCAATATAGTGTATGTATTGCAAGGACTTACCTAAACATTCCACTCAATCTATACAGATGTTAGTAAATATACAGCAGATTGTACAATCGGACTGTAACATGTGTGCTAGCTTTATCCATTACACCAGATCTGCCATGAGAAACTATAAAATGTTGGTTCACACTTAAGTCAAGTTAATTTAAATCCAACAGACAGTGGTGTCTGCTCTCCCTGCTCAACGCTAGCAAGGACTATGGTCTAGGACTGGGGGTGCTCAACCTGTGGCCCTCTGAACACATGAGGCCAGTGGAGCCCTCTGATGTGGCCATGACCTGAAACCAGGGAAGCGTATTCCCGGGGTCAGCAATATGTTGATCGCGATCTGGGCTTGCCAACCTACCATCCCAGAACCCCCAGTGCACAGAGCTGGTGCCAGCAGTGGAGGAAGCACGTGGACGCGGATGGAGCAGGAGTCGCATAAGCCAATGCTTCCTATGTAGCGCCGGCTCCTGTCCCAGGCAGAGTGATTCCAAGTGCACTTCACCTGGGACCTTTCTAGCAACCTGGGGATAGATGCCAGCAGAAGCTGGAAGAGGAAAAGAAGGTTGGTGTATTAAGCAACACATACTGTACACTGCTTTTGCAATGGGCATATCAGTACCTATTAAAGGGCTAACATCTATTATTGTGCTTACACACTGATCCGCGGGTCAGGCGCAGTGTACCTGCGGCTTATCTGTGCATTAGCTGTACTGAGCCGTACACTTCTATTATATCCTGCGGGTTTAGTGCGCTTTCAGAATGTTCACCACACCAGCAAGATATAATAGAAGCCTATGGCAAAGCACAGCTAAACCACAGGAAAGCCGCAGGTGCACTGTGCTGCAGACATGGTGTGGGTAAACCGCAGCTCATCAGTGTAAAAGCAGCCTTATAGAGGACTCAGGACAGTAAGGGCTCATTTACATTTATGGTTTGGGGGCAGTAAAACCCCATAGTTGAGATGTGTTTTAACCACACACCCCCAACCACTGGTGTAGCCTCAGAGGTTGAAATGTCAACCCCACCCCATGTCTCAGGAGGCCTCCCTGTCATATTCTGTTCTACATTTAGAAGGGGTGGTGGGGGCAGCAGATACAGAAACCAATCCTCTTCATTTTACCCTCCTGCAATCGCTGAAAGGCGGCTTTTCCTCCTCTCCCTCCTGCTGGTGTTCAATGGCTGCAGGAGGAAAATGTTTTCTGAGCCATTTCATTTCATTGTGACCCAGCTACCATTTAACCAGAACACTTAGAATGTTGCTAAACTCATGACCCTGCATTCACTATATCTGATCACCCACAGTACACACTACATGGAAATGCGATTATTTTAGTAAATATAAACTGCTAAATACATTTTCTCATCAGCAGTTAGAGCAGTCTTGTGACTTCTATCAGTGTCCAGCTGAGCACTGGTTAAAGCTTGTGGGAGGAGTTTTAAATCTCCTCTGACTGTCCTATGAGGCTGCATGACCCCTGACCCTCTGTCTGGATAGTGCTGATTGGCCCTGTGCTGATCACATGCACTCTCCCGAAAAAAAAAAGACTCTCTAGCCATACACACTAAATTGAGCATGTGCTGAGTGACTCCTAGAGCTCTGTACTCAGCAGAGGGATTGGGGACAGTAGAAGGGGAAGATCAAATAAGACAGGATTAAACATCCTTTTTACACAAAGCAGAGGATTAACCCCTTAGGTTCCACAGTGAGTATAACAAGCATGCTTTACTGCATATACAGACTGATTTTACTGTTGTGGGTTTAGTAACATTGTAAGTGGCCCTCACTCTTCAAAAAGTTGAGCACCCCTGGTCTAGGAAATAATGGTGGTCAAAGCAAAACTTTGTAAACTAGTTGCTTTGAGGTACAGTCAAATAAAATGTAAGCTATTTAAAATTACACAACCCCTCATGGAGGCAAGAACCATTTCCAAGGTAGCCATAATGTACATCAATGACATATCAGAACAAAACAAAAGTCACTCAGCAGGGATGTGAAATTGCTATAGCCTGACGCCTGGGACATGCAGTTCGGGTGCCGAGCAAGACGTTTTCTTTATATTTAGCCCTGCTGCGGGCAAGCAACAGGAATTTAGCACCGATGGTTCGCTCTGCTAGAGACATCCAAGTGGCTATCTAGTTTACACGCAGCAGGAGTGGACACCCTTCCATGGGCTTTCCTGTCGCACCCGGACAGCCGATCGACCATTTGGCACTTCCGCCGGCTGATAATGAAGGCAGACAAAGACCGGAACCACTCTGTCTGCCTCTATGATATAGGAAATAGGAAGCAATGAGCATACATCACTTCTGGTTTCCCAGATGTAAAAACACCATTTTTAAAAATGGAAAGCATTTGATCACACCTATCTTGTGTGATCAAATGCTTTCAAGGGCAGAGGAGGGATCTGGGGTCTTATTAAACCCAAATCTCTTGATAAAGAGCACCTGTCACTGCCTATTGCTGTCACAAGGGATGTTTACATTCCTTGTGACAATAAAAGTGATAAAAAAAAAAATTAAAGCAACAGTGTTACATCACAACCTCCAGTGGACATCACAGTTCCCCCCTCCCACCCCCATTCCCCCACTTTTACATCACAAACTGACCTATCACAGATCGCCCCATCACAGACCCCCTACACCCATCACCGACTGCTCCATCACAGACCCCCTACCCCCATCACAGACCCCCTACACCCATCACAGACCCCCTACACCCATCACCGACTGCTCCATCACAGACCCCCTACCCCCATCACAGACCCCCCCCCTCATCACCGACTGCTCTATCAGACCCCCCTAATTACAGACTGACCCCCCCCCACCGCTTCATCACAGATCGCCCCATCACAGTCCTCCCTGCATATTGCAGATTCCGGTCCCTTTCATAACATTGCAACACCCCCCCCCCCACACACACACACACACACACTGTTCTACCTTACTCACACAGGATGGGAAGCATGGCAAGTCTGGACATAGGGCGGGACTTTTCATGTTAAAGGGGGGTAAATGATTGCTTGGGCCGCCCAGTTGCCTAGCAGTCAATCACCCACAACCAATTACTCGCTTCCTAACATGAAAAGTCCCGCACTATGTCCATGCTTCCCGTCTTGTGTGAATAAGGTAGGACAGTGTGGGGGGGGGGGGGGGGGGGCAGACCTGCTGTGCCTCAAATGTTGTGCCCTTCCTTGAGGATAATAGAGGCAGTGGCGGGCAGGCGGGCGAGCCAGCAGCGGGGAGAGGACATTAAGGCAACTATTTGGTGAGGCTGTAGTCCGGAAAGGAATGTTTCTGGGTCCGGATCCGGACCGTGGTCCGCCATTTAGTGATGCCTGCTCTAGGGCCTCTACTTTAAAAAAAATATGGTTTGGGTGTTCTAAAAACATTTTCTATCAGTTTTTAAAGCGGAGTTCCACCCAAACATGGAAGCTCTGATTGTTTTTGCCCCCCCTCCCTTCCACTGCCATATATGGCACCTTTTGGGGGGACAGGTACCCGCTCCCACGTCTGGCTCAGTTCGCTGCGGCAAAGTGATTCGTAAGTTTTGTCCCCTCCTTCCTCCCGCGGTCTCCTGGGAACCTTCACAGGTCCCAAAAGACTGCCGGACTAATTAGGATGCGTAGCACAACTCGCACATGCGCAGTGGGCACCTGGCTGTGAAGCCGCAAGCTGTCACAGCCTGGTGCCCACAGTTGAGATGCCAGCGCCATGGAGAGAAGAAGGAGAGAAGGGACGGCACAGGTGAGCACATCGCTGGACCCTGGTTACAGGGTAGCTGCTGACTTTTAATAAACACAAAAATGGCTGGAACTCCGCTTTGAGTCGCCATAAAGCCCCTTTCGTTTTTAAAAGCCCCAGACTTTCCAAAAAGCACCTAGTAAAAAAAACCTTCATATTTTCAATCCTGGCAACGTTTTTTTTTTTTTTTTTCATCAGGACAAGTAGATTGGAAACCCAATTTAGTCCTTGGACAAGTAGTTTTTTAACCACTTGCCCTCCTGAGGATTTACCCCCCTTCCTGACCAGGCCATTTTTTGCGTTAGGGCGCTGCGTTTTTGCGCAGTCGTGCAACGCTGCACCCAAATTAAATTTATGTCCATTTTTCCCACAAATTGAGCTTTCTTTCTATGGTATTTGATTGCCTGTGCGTATTTTATTTTTTGCGCTATAAAAAAAATAGATACTGGATTTTTTTTATTTTTACTAGTAATGGCCATGATCAGCGACTAATAGCAGTACTGCGGCGGGCATTCTGACACTGGGGGGAACTGCCTTGGTGTCACTGACATCCGCAGTGACACCAATACAGTGATCAGTGCTAAAAAAAAAAACACTGACACTGTACTAAGGGCACTGGGTAGGAAGGGGTTAATATCTCGGGTGATCAAAGGGTTAACTGTGTGCTGTGTGTGTTTTATTATGGGGCTGTGTGTGTGCTTTCCACTGTAATGCAGAGCCATACAAAGCAGTGTGCAGGAGCCAACAGAGGAGAGAACTGGATTGTGTACAGTTCTCTCTCCCCGTCAGTATTAATCAGCGACCCAGTGATTGGCAGCCGAGGCCGCGATTGCGGGCGATCAAAGGGTTAACTGTGTGTGGTTTTACTTGTGTCTGTGTGCTTCACTGTAATCACTCTGGTTTGCATGGCTGTGCTCAGCAATCACCAGGCGCCGGTGAGTAATCACCAGCCCGGAACCAGTGATTGACAGCTGCGGCCGTGAAAGGCGGTGCGGGTAGGACGTGCATGCGCCCCCTACCAGGAAATGCAAAATCACATATATATACATGATTTTGCGCACCCATGCTATAGGGAGGTTGGGAAGCAGTATATCTGCTACAGTATATCTGCTATAGGGGATCGGGAAGCAGTATATCTGCTACAGTATATCTGCTAGAGGGTGGTCGGGAAGCAGTCTATCTGCTACAGTATATCTGCTATAGGGGGGTCGGGAAGCAGTCTATCTGCTACAGTATATCTGCTATAGGGGGGTCGGGAAGCAGTCTAACTGCTACAGTATATCTGCTATAGGGGGGGTCGGGAAGCAGTCTATC